CCAAAGCACAAGGCACAGGGTAGGGGGGCAGCAGGTAAGAAGACCCCAGTGGCCGGAGCAGGCACCGTGCTCTCTGGGGCACAGATGGGCTGGGAGAAGAGGTCAGGCTCGGGACCAGTGGCTGCCACCACTGAACGGGCTGGGCACCAACACCACCTGAGTAACTCCTTGGAGGAAACCTTACCTGTGTGCCACCTCTTCTTTCTATGGGGATGCCAGTATGAGGTGGTTTGTGAACTGTCATGCTCTGTGAGTTGCCTCGCCGTGCTGAGCTGTAAGTGGCCCCCAACATCCATGTAGGTGGGATAAGTCAATCAAACAAGGCCACATGATTGCTTTGGTTCTGACTCCTGGGGGAGTTATGGTACCACAGAGGCATCTGCTCTGCACACAGGGCAGGCTGCAGATTTTTTCTCCAGGACTCTAAAAACAGGAGTTCTGGGAGAAGCCCCAGACACACAGTGTGGCTGTCCAGACGTCAGTCTGACTCCAACTGGACCCTGCTGGCTCCTCCCTGGCCAGGAGCCCAGAAGGCCTGGCCTAGCTGCCCCAGCTTGTCCAGGACTCAGAATCTGCCATGCCACACAAGTTGCCTGCACCTCTAGGCTGCCCAGTCTCAATCTGGACAACTGTACTATATCATCTGAAGAGCATTCTATACTTTCACTTTATACTGTTACGGACATAATCCAGATTCTCATTTTGTGGAGGATCAGAACCAAGTTCAGAGAATGATGGCCTGGCTTGGGTCCCACAGTCAAAAGCAGAGCCCAGACTGGAAGCCTGGTTTCCTGGCTCCCCACCAGCCCCACAAGTCACCCCCTTCCCATGTAATTGGTTCTGACATCCAGATAATAGCTACCCTCTTTTGTTGTAGAAAAACAGTTTTTTTCCCTGGCATTTTTCCGAGCAGAAGACTACATGGACTTGGGAAATACTGACATTATAAAAAGGGTTTTTATCATGCTAGGGACCAACTCATACTAGCAATTAACCTTCTAAAGTTGAAGGAATAACAACAACAACAACAAAAAGGCTGCAAAACTGTCATAATTTTCAGAGTCAAAAAAATGCAAACAATAATGTAACAAAACCTTCATTCTGAGATCACTAAATCAAAACTTATGTATAAACAGTAGCCGCCCCTACACTCCTCTGCAGCCAGAGAAAACGCCAGGGTGTGAAGACTGAGCTGACCTCAAAGCACAAAGGGCTTCTCAGTCATGTTAGCAGGGCCTGTTCTGCAGAGCATATCAAGCCCAAATGGTCTTTTTCCGCCCATGAACTTCCACGTGCAGAGTGAGACCAGAAGGCCTTGGTTCTTCCGTCACCTACACCAGGCATCAAACCCTGGCTGGAATATTTTCTGGAGGCACAACCTTGCACCTGTTTCCTCCTGTGTAAAATAGGGAAAATCTCAGTTTCCACCTGACCAGGCTGTTAAAAGGTGAGGTATTGTGGGGAGTGCAGAGCACAGTGCTGAAATACAGCAGTGGCACTGTTGTTTTTTCTGACTATTATTACTTGACAATACTTCATTGGTTCTTAATTTTGGTCCTTAAAAGTCAAGTGTTCATAAAAATATATCAGATGGTTACCAATGCCCCCAAGTCAGTCTGAACTAGGGAGGGGAAGGCAGGACTTAGGAGCTATTCCTCACCTGGTATTCCTCCTCCAGGCGTGACAGCAGCACGGCCTGCTCCACTGTCAGGTGCAGGTCAATCAGGGCCAAGGTCAGCACCATGGACTTGAGCTGGGTCACTACAAACTCAATCCCTATGGGAACACGAGCCAAGTCAGGACCCGAAACAGGACAGCTGTCACATCGTATCCCCTCGTGGGTCGCAGCAGCCCTAGCAGAGAACAGGAGTGAGTGGTGCCAAGGGTCAGGAAGGGGAGGACACCCTCAGGCCCATCTGGTGCGTAGCCTACGTTTCTGAAAGAGCCCTCTGGTTTTCCTTGGGGGTGATGCTCCTCTGCTGGACACATGACCTGAACCTGGCCAATCAGAGCATCCCCACAGCCAGGGATAGGTTCACAGATGGGCATGTGACCTGAGCCAGGCCAGTGAGACCTGAACTTCAGACTTCTGCTGGAGAAGCGAAACCCCACTTTCAGCAGGACAGATGTGAGCCTGGAGAGCTGAGTGAAGGGCGAGCAAGAGAGCCAGCCAGCCGCCAGAACCACAGCCGCCCCTGTGAGCACTCCTGCAGCTCTCCACTCAGAACACCTAGGGAGGGGCAGGTACAGGCTGCAGAGCTGACAGCCATCGCCCCCATCCCGGGGCCCACAGGAAACTCCACACCTACCTTGTAGGGCCCACATGTTATAAGATGCCAGGTGGCTGAGAAGCACCTCCCGAGTCCTGGCCGGGATGCTGGGACCCATTATGCTGGTGGAGGAGCCAATCTCCACATTGTATCTGAAAGGAAAAGGGCTTCGGTGTGGCCCAAGAACATCCTGCTTTTGGGCTGGAAGCAAAGACCTAAGCTACTGAGCATGTGTGCACCCCTCTAGGACATGAGGCCAAGGAGCTAGGCTTGAAAACTGGGAGCAAGTCCCACTATGATCAGTGTCCTCCTGATCTGATTTTCTGTCCCCCAAGAATAAACTTAGAGGACCAAGAAACTGCTCTGAATGAAGGCATGGCTGACAAGTCACATGAGCAGGGGTCAGTTATATGCAGCTGCCTGAAATGCTAATTCATCTGCCTGGAATTGCCATCAAAAGTGTGGACCACCTGCTTTTGAACCTCTTCAAAATGTTCTTCACATTTGAAGCCATAAAAGATGTCTTTTTTTTGAGATTAGAAAATATAGTTTATTTAAAAAGTAAATTAGAAAGAGAGAAAGAGGAGATTCACCTCCCCAAGTTAGGGAAGGGAGTCAAAGCTTAAGAAAACATGGCCTGGCCATAACTCAAAGAGCACATGGCCACACCATAGCTCAGCAAGGCAATGGCCAAAAGATGTCTTTTAGACAGTTCCTTAAAAATAACGTTAGTGTACACACGAGGCATTGTTTTTGGTCTGTGATCTATGGGACATGACAAACTGGCTTTAAGAAAACATACGTTTTCAGGAATAATCATAACTATATGAAACAGGAAAAAGAGAATGGGATAAAAATAATTTTTGTAATTTTCCTCCATGTATCACTGTTTTTTTCTATTGTTTAAAAAATATTCTTGCAGAAATTTCTCACAGTACAAATTGACAGTAGGAAATAGCTAAGTTTTCCTGTAAACTATAAAGGATGGGATAGCTCAACTGCCACAAAAACCTAACGACTTTGTACCACAGCAAAGATCTCCAGGCACCTAAGTTATTGTTATATTTCATCACATTCCAAAATGACATTGTATCCTATTTCTCACACTATATTGCATCTGATCCTTTCAAGTACTGGCCTTGACTTTTCCTTTAAAACCCAAGAATGCCAGGCACATCATAAATGCTCAGGCAATGCTGGCAGATGAGTGGGACAGACTGACAATATCAATTTTGTGAAAAATGTTATACCAAGAAATAAGCACTATAAGCTTACAAAATACTGTGGTCAAGGTACTACCATGAAAGTCAGCCCTTCCAAATTTCCCTCAGGATCAACTGTAATTAAATTTATTTTGCTACCACATCAATAGTCTGTACAATTTTACACTCAAAAGAGTCTTCCTGTTAAGCAAAAATATTGGATCTCATCAATTCCTAGAAACTACACATCCTGGCCAGGTGTGATGGCCCACTCCTGTAACCCTAACACTTTGGGAGGCTGAGGCTAAAGGATAGCTTGAGGTCAAGAGTTCAAGACTAGCCTGAACAATATAGGGAGACCCGTCTCTACAAAAAATTAAAAAATTAGCTGGATGTGTGGTGTCACATACCTGTAGTCCCAGCTACTAGGGAGGGGGAAGCAGGAGAATCACTTGAGCCCAGGAGGTCGAGGGTAGAGTGAGACTCTGTCTCAAAAAAGGAAACCACACATTCATAGGATGATGTTACCTGTAATTTTGCAGGAAGCTGTCCGGACATTTCTCCATGTGTACATGTATTATACATGCTGTTTTGAAACTGCCAAAATGTGAGCATTTACTGTGTTCTACTGTGGCTCTGGTGCTTCCCCAAGAACACTGAGCTGCCCCTACACCACAATTTGTGTACCACAACAGCAAATGTGCAGTGTGTGGTAACTGGAATGAACTTGAGGAATGATTTTTCCAAAGTGATCCTATCACTGAACATTTGAGGGCAGTTGAATCACAAGGGTGCTCTGAAATCAGAAAGTCAACTAGTGATGGGTTTTGGTTGTCCAGTGTCATCCCCTGGCCCCAACACCCTGCCCTACCCTGGTACCCAGTGAAAATCAGTGTTTTCTGTGGAGCTATACATCTTACCTTTGCTCAGCCCATCCTATGATTGGATCCCACTCATTCTTTTGCAGTTCCACTAATGTCTCTGGCTCTTCCACCCTGTAGCTAATTCATTGTAAAAATCACCTTCATTAATAAAAAAGTACAATTCCTTCATTCAGTGACAGAAAAGGAAAAACACAAAGGGCAACAGCAAAAACTTCACCACCACCATCCCAGCCTACAAGTCCTCCCCCTAAAGCAATGGCTGTCAAAGTGTGGCTCTGGGGCCAGCAGCATCAGCATCACCTGGGAACTTGTTAGAAATGCACATCTCAAGCCAATCCCACACCTGTAGAAATCAGAACAGGGGAGCGGTAGGGGGTGGGGGTGGGCAGCAATCTATGTTTTAACAAGCCCTCCATGGGATTCTAACATCAGTTTGAGTTTGAGACCACTGCCCTAAATGCCCCCAAATATTTGACAGGTCCAAACTTGTATCACTGAGTAACTGCCATTCTAATGTAGATCCCATCTATGGACTACTACCCCAGATCCTCACCCACTTGATCCTAGGATGCCAAACACAAATGCTGTGCCAGATGCTTAGTTCCTGCATCCCTACCCTCCCACCTCTTCCATTGCAAAAGACCTGCAAGAGACCATTACCCTGGCCACAGACCAAATGCCTGTTTACACATCATGAGCCCACCCACCCACCTCCTGGCTATCAACACAGCTGCTGGCAGAGATGCCAACCTGAGGGGATCAAACTAGAGGCCAGGCTATGCCATTTGTTTTGATCAAGAGACACAGAGACAAGTCAGTTAAAGGAGCTGAGTTGCAAGGTCTCAGGGGGTAGGAGCCCAGGTGGGCATGTGGAAAGAAAGCCAAGGCCTTGTGTAAGCAGTGGGAGAAGAGAGGCCATGAGTGAGCAGAAAAAGCTGAGCTGCTGAAGGAAGCAGATGGATTTTCCTCCCTGAGCCCAGCCCAACCCTACAGGTCAGAGGGATGCTCTGGCATTGATCTTCTACCTCCCATTCCCCATGGCCCAACTGTCCTTTACTTCCTGTCAGGGTCCTACATAGTTTTCAAAAACCCCTTTTTGCTTGAGCTAGGCTGAATGGGTTTCTGCTACCTGAAAGCAAGTGAACCCTAATATAAATGCAGTGGGCTTTCCCACTAGCTGCAGGCCACCCTCTTCAAGGGCACTCCCCTAGCCATCAGTGCTGATTTCCTATGTCATCATGAGATGATGCAGGACCCTAGAGACTAAGGCCAGCAGGCATGGTGTTGCTCAGCCACTTTAGGGGTTTCTTCAACTTTCCTTCAGTATCACTGACTAATTAGCTAAAAGCACAGACATTACAGAATAATTCAGAACCAGAGGGGGCCAGCTCCTGAATACCAACATCTGTAATGACAAGAGTCCTATGTGAGAATGACAGAGGGCAGATCAGGATCATGGGCCCCACTAGGAGCTGGCAAGTGACCCCTGTGGTCCTGGCACCTGCAGGAGCTGCATAACCTCCTCCCCAGCCCAAGGGGCAGCTGTTGGGATGGAGGAGTGCCCATGCCCTGACGCCTTGCAGCCCAAGGAGTCCTTTCCTTGGGGAGCTGCAGAGCAGCCAAGTGCCGACACCAAGTGGGCGTCTTCCCTATCCTGAGTGAAACAGAAGAGGGTCTCGTCCACTGATAACTGTCTGGGCAACTGAGGCAAAAGAGCCCAGGCACTTAGGCTCAGTCTAAGGGGAATGTCCATTAAATGTCAATTACCAGATGGTGTCAGTGTCCAGAAACTTCACAGCTGCCCGAATCAGCTGATCTTTGCTTCGCTGGGTTGGGTTATCCAAGGATGTGTTGCACAATGTGGTCTGAATCAAAAGACAGAAAGTGTCCCATCACCACCTGCTGGACTCAGGCAAAAGCCCTGCCTTCCTGAGGATATTGCACCTGACAAGCAGCAGCAGGGTGAGAAGCAAACAACATCACACCAAAGCCTTCAACTGAGGTATCTTCACACTGCAGCAGCAGCACACCTACAGAGAGTATACCACAGCCAGGCACTGGGCTCAATGCTCTGTGTGGGGGCTGGGTGTGGTGGCTCATGGCTGCAATCCCAAAACTTTGGGAGGCCAAGGCAGGAGGAGGATTGCTTGAGGCCAGGAGTTTGCAATCAGCCTGGACAACATATCAAGACCTTATCTCCATAAAAAAAAAAATTAGCTGAGCATGGTGGTGCACCTCTATAGTCCCAGCTACTTGGGAGGCTGAGGTGGGAGATCCCAGCTACTCAAGAGGCAGGAGGATAGCTTGAGTTCAGGGGTTTGAGGCTGCACTTAGCTAAGCTTGCACCATTGCACTTCAGCCTGGGCAACATAGTGAATTCCTGTCTCTAAGAAAAATGAACAAATAAATAAAAATAAATGGTTTGTGTGGATGCTCAAGGGACTCATGGGAGCCTTGCAGCAGCCCTAGGATTAGTGAACTTCCCCCAGGTTGCAGGCTTTTTATTACCAAGTTCTAGTGCATTTAATTTAATCCTCACAGCAACCCTTTGGAGTAGGTACTATTATTATGCCAGTTTGAGAGATGTGGAAACTGAGACCCAGAGAGGTTAAATACATTGTAAAATACACTGATAAGACATGTATCAGTGAGGAAACTAAAATCTGACTGAGAAGTTTTACCAGCTGTCTCCCTTAATACCTTAGAAAGCAAAGAAACAGACTATGTAAATCAAGATCAAGATTATTTTTCCAGATTCACCTTGTCAATGTTAGGCTGCTTAGGTTACTCTATTAGTTTCTAGCCCTAATCATGCTAATTTCATCAGATAGTAAAGGTGTAGGCCAGTCCCTCTGCAGGCTGTGATGTCAGGCAGAAGTCCACCTAGGTTTGTAAAGACTGAGTGTGTAACAGCAAGGTGACAGCAAAGAACTGCTATACCAACTGCGTGCCCACTCCATGCCAGGGACCATGCCAAAGGCTTTTATGCATCAGCTCATCTAATCCTGACCACAGTTACAGGAAGGGGGTACTATTATCACTCATCTTTTATAGCAGGGGAACATGGGGCTGGGAAAGGGACAGTAGATACCCAAGGTGATAGCCTAGAAGCTGCAGAGGCTGGACCTGAAGAGTCTGGCTGACCCCTTCCTTCCCCAGTCAGCCACCTCTGTGTGGACAAGCGGGCTGGCTCTATGGGGAATCTTCCTCACCTCCCCTATCTGCCTCCCACATCCAACCCATATTTACTGAGTGCCAACGCAACTTCCCACTGGGGGCTGTCCAGACACTGGTGCGTAGAGAAGACACGGCCCCTGCCCTTATGTTACTTGCCAGGCAGTGGAGGAGAAATGTGCGAACATAAAACAGACAACTACAAATTGCCTAAGTGCTGACGAAAACAAACAGCCAGCTGCTGTGATGGAAAAGAAGAGAGCTGGACAGTCAGCGAAGGTGACATCCTGAGACCAGAGGAGAAACCAGCCATCCAGCATGGTGTTCCAGGCAGAGGGAACTGCGGGCGGCCAGAACAGACAGGGAAAGAATTTGGCCCATTCGGGGACAGAGGAGGCAAGTGTCCCTGAGGTCTAGGTGGGCAGGAGCACATCCCTCAGAGCCTTGTCAGAACTTGGAAAGGATCTGCATTTTTTGCCAGGTGTCCTAGGAAGCCCCAGTGGGTCCCAGAGTGTAGGTTTATACTATGAGCTTGTTACCAGGTGCATGGTGTAGTACTTGATGGTATCCTGCTGGGAGTCCCATTCGGTGGCCACTGCAATGGCCAGGGCCTCACTAGGCACGGTAAAGAGCTTGGCTTGGGGAGTTTTCAGCTTCCTGTGGTCCAGGTTTATCTCAAAGCCACCTTGAAAGATCAAATGAAAAACTCTCAGGGATTGTTAAGTGGAATCGAGTGACCATTCCTATATTTAGCTACTTGAATTGGGGCAGACAAAGACAACGCTGAGTCCCTACAGAAACATATCTGACAAAAGCAGGAAGGATAATCTCACCACTGAACCAGCTGAAGATGAAAAATATTTCCAACCATTCACAAAAAAAAAAAGAGAGAGAGAGAGAGAGACAGTCAAAATTTCAGACACTCACCTTCACCCTGTGTGATGCTGACATTCTGATAAAACCTCTTCCTTTCTGTAAGAAAGATTTTTCAAAACGGCAGTTTAAAATAACATTGAGACAGCTCAGGAAGCGACAGGACTAGCTTATATCATTACTGCTAATGCTGATTGATTGGCTTGATTTTCATATCCCCATTCAAGGTCTGCCCTACTCTACATGGTATAATCAACGGCTTCTGATTAAATCTGGGGGAGGGGAGCATCCAATCTCCTGGGAGGAGGGAAGAGCAAGACATGCTGGTCATGTCTCCAACATTGCCTCAGCCCAGGACCAGCCTGATCAGGAGCATCCCAAGCGGCAGACTGTGTGGCCTGACAGACTTCCCAGCACCTCTCCTGCTTTAATGTCTAAGCATGCTCCCACTTGCCCCACCACCAGTGCTGTCTCCATGCCAGCACAATGGGCCCCAATCTAAAGTCGGAGTCTGAGGGAAACAAAGCCAGAGATCTATTTCAGGCATGACTCTGATGCCTCTAAGAAGGGGTGAGTGGAAAGCCAGTGTGTGTGTGTGTGTATGTGCTCACATGTGTGCGTGTGTGCACGTGTGTGGTACACAGGCAGGAAACAGAACTCTCAGGGGCATTTCCTACCCCCTCTTCTCTCCAAGTAATTAACCTAATTAACCAACTTGCTTGCATATACAAGAGGACCTCCAAACATTTCCTTTAGGAAGGGGAAAATCTATATTCTGTGTTTTCTTTAGAAGATAACTTGCAAGGTCAGGCAAGGTGGCTCATGCCTGTGATCCCAGCACTTTGGGAGGTCCAAGGCAGGAGGATCACTTGAGGCCAGGAGTTCCAGACCAGCCTAGACAACATAGTAAGACCAGCCTGGGCAACATAGCCAGAAAAAAAAATAATAATAACTGGGCATGGTGACACATGCCTGTAGGCACACCTACTTAAGAGGCTGAGGCAGAAGAATCACTTGAGTCTAGGAATTCAAGGCTGCAGCGAGCTATGATCATGTCATTGAACTCCAGCCTGGGGGTTAAAGTGAGACTGTGTCAGAAAAGGGAAAGGGAAAGGAAAGGAGGAAGGAAAGAAAGAAAAGAAAGGAAGAAAGAAGATATGGAAGGGAGGGAAGGGAAGGGGAGGGGAGGGAAGAAAGGAAGAAGGAAGAAAATAACTTGAATAAAATCTTACATAAAACTTTAAACATATATATATATATATTTTTTTTTTTTTTAATTTTTTTTTTTTTTTAACCCTGGAGAGAGAGATTAAAAACCAAGAGCACTTCACAAAGAATTATGCAGGCTGGGTGTGGTGGCTCACGCCTATAATCCCAGCACTTTACTTTGGGAGGTTGAGGCAAGAGGACTGCCTGAGCCCAAGGGTTCGAGACCAGCCTGAGCAACTTGGCGAGACCCTCCTCTCTACAATAAATCAAAAAATTAGCCAGGCATGGTGGCATGCGCCTGTAGTTCTGGCTACTTGGAAGGCTGAGGCAGAAGGATCGCCTGAGCCTAGCAGGTTGATGCTGGGGTGGCTGTGAGCAAGCCACAAGCACTCCAGCTTGGGTGACAGAGTGAGACCAACTAAAAAAAAAAATTATGCAGATTCCCTCAACTAATAATGAATAAATAGGTCACGTTTTGGAAGTTATAAACTATAACTCAGTTTTACATCTGTGACAAACATAAAACTTTTATTCATTCATTCCTTTGCTCAATCTTTCATACATCCATTGGGTTCTAAAAGTCTTCAGAGACCCTGACTTGTTACTTATTGGAATTAATAATGTAGCATGTAAAGAAAAAGGAGATTAATTAAATAGCTTACATTTATGCTTTAAAAAAGAAAACCAACTAGGCTTAAGTTAAAATTTCATTAATTTTCATTCATTTCAAACAGACTATGAAAATTCAGAAGAAACTGGTATTGTGTATGGAGGGGGAAGGGTAATAGATAGAGGGCATTTGTTTTTACTCCAAACATTTTTATATTTTTCATGTCATATCAGTTTTTCCATAAATCACATTTGCTATCACTGATAAAGACAGAGGGCCCAAAATTATATTCCACAGTTGCACTTGCTAAACAAAGACACAAATTGTTTTCCCACAAAATTATTTGTGTGTCTGTCATGTGCCATGTACCTTTCTTGGCACTTGGGATACAACAGTGAATAAAACAGACATGGAGTTTAATTCTTTTTTTTTAAGTGATCAGATCTAGCCACCAAGTTGATGCTGTCTTATCATGGCATGATTTACCCCCTTCATCTGAAATCATAGCACTGATTCTCTCACATATTTGACACCAAAATTGGAGGTTTACACCATCCTGGTACTTTTAAATTCCCCTACTTGACATATTACCCTGGTCATATTCAAATGGCAGGCTAAACATAGGTCTAGAGGTCTCTTTTCCTCTCTCTGGTCTGGATTGAAGTATTTAGACCACATCCACTGTGTTTTCCAATGCACAGATTGGGCAGCATGTCTAAAAGCCAGGTCAGGAAGGAAGTTGGGAAGAGTGCTGAGTGCTCTGACTCAACACTGGGGGAAGGGTCTTTCCATGTCAGCAGGAAGTGCCAGCAGAGCACACAAAGTGCCAGTGAGCACGCCTGCACACTGTGACCCAGGCCTGGGAAATGGGCCCAAGAGATCTGGGGCAGAGGAACAAACTCGGAAGAAATTACCAGCACAGGGTTGAATCTTCAAAAGCTGCTGAGATAGCTAGGTCCCACAAGAGAAGTGTTTTTTTTTTTTTTTTTTCTGCTTTGCTGGCCAGGCCCACCTCTGTATCTGAATAAGAAAATACTAGAAAGGAGTGGGATGGATGGAGGGGCAGGAAAAGAGCTTCAAAATTGCTCAAAACAGAAGAAAAAAAGATGGCAGAAGGGCAAAAGGAGCCCAAGAACTGCCAGGCCTCAGATGAGAAGACAGGTACATGGGGGCACATTTTAGACAGGGGCTGTCTTGGATGACAAGCTGAGACTTGGAGGGGCACACTTGTCTAGACCAAACATCAGTGAGCACTAATCACATTCCAGAACCTGTGATAAGTCGTGGTGATGGGATGTGTACAAAGCTCATTTCTGTCCTCTAGCCATTTACGTCTAGTGGGAAAAAACACTAAAACAGGCGAACAATAAGGTGACTTCTATGATGGTGAAGGAACATGGAATGACAGAAACGCACATTAGGGAACCCTGATCCCATCCTGAGTTAAAGAAAGACCTCCAAACAGACATTTAATATGCAACCTGAAGAAAAGGCAAGAGGTACCAAACTTTACTGATTAATTCATTTTTGGAAGGGGTATGTGTAGGAGTAGTTTCTAGAAGAAGAAACAGATTACATGAAGGTCCAGGGCTTCAAGAGAGCACAGTTTTTGAGAACTAGAACAATGGTCAGAAAGACAAAACTGTAGCTATCCAGGGAGAATGGTTAGAGAGTCTCAGAGAATGGTGGGGCCAGATCTGGGGGGTTTGGAGGCCGTGTAGGTCACAGCAAGGACTGCAAAGGGAGGCAAGTAAGGGGTTCAGACATGCAAACAAGAACATGATTTGGGCAATTCATTTGGTGGAGTACCCCCAACAATATCAAAATGACCTCTGTTCTTTGCAGGGGCTCTCAAAGTCATGGGTCACATAGGACACATCATGAGACCATCAGTAACCTGGGAAGCTCCCATATTCTCAGTTAATACAGGGTTAGCCAACATCAATGGGAATACCATCTTTAAAGATGAAAAATCAGCTTAGCTTTGTAGGATCATACAGAACTGGGATCTATTTAGAGTATGAATCACTCCCTTTACAGAACATCTGTGGCAAAAACACATACAGTGCTTTTTAAGTGACATTTTATGGACTATGTAGATGCAAAGAAATGGGTATGTGAAAAACAATTGCTTTTTAAACGCTGGCCACAAGAAAATTAGCTATATAAGCAGAAAGTAACTTTAAAAACCTGCTTGTAGCCGGGCTCGGTGGCTCAGCCTGTAATTCCAGCACTTTGGGAGGCCGAGGCGAGTGGATTACCTGAGCCCATGGGTTCAAGACCAGCCTGGGCAACTTGATGAGACCTCATATCTACAATAAATGAAAAAAATTGGCCGGGCATGGTAGCGCACGCCTGTAGTTCTGGCTACTTGGAAGGCTGAGGCAGAAGAATTGCCAGAGCCCAGCAGGTCAACGCTGGGGTGGCCATGAGCCTGAGTGCCACTGCAATCCAGCCTGGGCAATGGAGTGACACTCCAACTCAAAAATAAAAATAAAAAAATAAAAATAAATAAAAACCTGCTTGTGTGAAGAGTGCAGAATTGGAAATTAATGTCCTTTGAGTCCCTTTTCCTGTGAGGTTGCTTCAATCCATATAAAGAAACAAGCAGTTTTCTGTGTCACTTCCCTCTACTGTCCTCCTGTCCCAGTCTTTATAGACTAGTGAGTGATCTTTCTACCAGTCACAATTTCCGGGCTGGCCTACTCTTTGGAAAGATTCAAGGCCTCAGGGACTACAACACCCACAGTGCACCAAGAAGAGGAAGTGCTGGTCTCAGAGCTGTCTCCACCGCTTTATCTTTTAAAACAGTGCCATCTGGTGGGCCTTAAACCTTAAAGCTGGAATCCTAACAGGGCATCCCTCCATCTGTAAACCTAGGATAGTTCTGATCAAGTGTTTTTAGGTATCAAAATTCTTCAGTCCAAATATATACAAAGAACTCTTTTTTTTTTTGAGCTCGTGTCTCACTTCGCTGCCCAGATTGGAGTGCAGTGGCACGCTCACAGCCACCCCAGCATCAACCTGCTGGGCTCCAGTGATCCTTCCGCCTTAGCCTTCCAAGTAGCCAGAACTACGATGTGTACTACCACGCCTGGCTAATTTTTTGATTTACTGTAGAGACAAGTTCTCGCCAAGTTGCCCGGTCTGGTTTCGAACCTGCAGGCTCAGGCCATCTACTCGCCTCAGCCTCCCAAAATGCTGGGATTACAGGCTGAGCCACTGAGCCTGGCCATAAAGAACTCTGAAAACTCAATAATAAAAAGACAAATAACCCAATTAAAAAATGGTCAAAGAATCTGACTAGACACCTCTTCAAAGAAACTATACAGATGGCCAACAAGCACGTGAAAAGATGCTCGGCATCATTCATCATCAGGGAGATGCAAGTCAGAACCACAAGAAGGGCTGGGCATGGTGGCTCATGCCTGTAATCCCAGCACTTTAGGAGGCCGAGGTGGGAGGATTGCTTGAGGCCAGGAGTTCAAGGCCAGCCTGGACAACATAGCAGGACACTGAGACTCCACCTCTATAAAAAAAAAATTAGCTGGGTGTGGCAGGGCACAACTATAATCATGGCTGCTTGAGAGGCTGAGACAGAAGGATCACTTGAGCTCAGGAATTCAAGGTTACAGTGAGCTATCATCATACCACTGCACTCCGGCCTTGGTAAAAGAGCAAGACTTTGTCTCAGAACACACACACACACACACACACACACACACAATGAGATACCATTTCACACACCTTAGGATGGCTATAATCAAAAAAGACAATAAGAGTGTTGGTGAGAATGTAAAAAAAATGGAACCCTCATACACTTCTGGTGGAAATGTAAAATGGTGCAGCCACCTTGGAAAAACCTGACAGTTCTTCAAGAAATTAAACAGAACTACCCTTTGACCTAGCAGTTCTACTCTTAGGTACATACCCAGAGAAATTAAAATGAATGTCCACATGAAAACTTGTACGTGAATGTTCATAGCAGTATTATTCATAATCACCAAAAGGTGGAAACAACCCAAGTGTCCATCAATGGATGGATAAGTAAAAGGTGGTACATCTATACAATGGAATATTATTTGGCAATAAAATGAGTGGTGTATTGATATGTGATACAACATAAATAAAACTTAAAAAAACATTATGCTAAGCAAAAAAGTCAGTTAAAAAAGACCACATTCAATTTATATGAAATGTCCAAAATAGAGAAATCTATAAAGGAAGAAAGTAAAGCATGGTTGCCTAGGGCTGGAGGGACAGAATGGGTAAGTGCAGATGACAGCTAAAGGGTATAAGTTCTTTTGGGGGTGATAAAAATGTTCTAGCCAGGCTCGGTGGCTCAGCCTGTAATCCCGCGCCTTTGGGAGGCTGAGGTGAGTGGATTGCCTGAGCCCGCGGGTTCGAGACCCGCCTGGGCAGCGAGACCTCATCTCTACAATAAATCAAAAAATCAGCCGGGCGTGGTAGCGCATGCCTGTAATTCCGGCCACTTGGAAGGCTGAGGCAGAAGGATCGCCAGAGCCCAGCAGGTCGAGGCTGCGGTGGCCGGGAGCGGCCACTGCACTCCAGTCTGGGAGACAGAGTGAGACTCCAACTCAAAAAAAAAAAAACAATATTCTAAACTTGATTGTGGCATGATAGTACAACTCTGTGAATATACTAAAGACAATTCTATTCATACTTTAAGTTAATGAATTGTATAGTAAGTAAATTCTATTCATACTTTAAGTTAAATTATAAGTAAATGAATAATAAGTAAATTATAAAAATAAATAGTAAGTAAATTATAAATCATAAAGCTGCTTTAAAAAAGTCCTTCAGGGCAAATGTACAAATGCACTGTTTTTCAAAATGTCTTGCATATAGAGCAGAGGTTGACAAACTTGTTCTGGCAAGAGCTAGACAGTAATACTGTAGACTTTGCAGGTCATATAATATCTGTTGCAATGTCTCAACTGCCATTGTCATGAAAGCAGCCATAGACAGTATGTAAACGAATGAGTGGTCCAATAAGACATATTTACAGAAACAGGTGGCAGGCTGGACCCTGATCAACAGACTACATAATCTCTCAAGCCACACCACTACTCTATGAGGATGAGACAACAGTTAATCCCTCTGAGGTGGCAGAGACTCTGAGAAGCTAAGTGTTTTATTCAGATGACAGACAACTTGTAAATGGCAGAAACAAAACTTCCAGCCTTGACTTCATTGGGTGTTTGTATTCAGCCAGATATGCTGTTTCTCTGAAAAATCTCCCCCTCCAAGAGCTGATGGACCTCTTTCAAGTTGGTGCACAAACCAGACTGCTACAAAAGTCTCACATAGGTTACCTTGCTACATCTGCTCCAATACTTCAGTGACTCTTTCCTAAACTCCCCCTTTCCTTTGACGACCTTCAATAACAAAGCAGTTCCGAAGGGGCCAAGTTCAATCAGCTTGCCAACTGAAGTGTTCATCGAGAAGAACCCACTTGAGTTTAATCTTCCACCACTCCAAACATGCACAAAAATCTCACAACCGATCAAGTTTTTACAGAGCACACGTGGGACTGATCTATGCATCTCCCTCCTCATTCATTCCCATTTGCTTTCACACTTGACTACCTACCATGTGCCTAGTCCTTCCAAGAGCCTAAACTAGTAGGTGTGTAGTAGAAGAGAAAAGAAGATGGTAGACAAAGTGCCACCATAATAGAAAGTGAGCACACACTAACTTACATTAATCTTTTCTTTTTGCCAACTTCTGAATGTGTTCCTTTGCTTGTGCTATGCCTCCCTAGGACTACCTTTCTTATTCCTTTACTGGCCCTTCATGGCCCACCTCCAGGCCTCTCACCCGGACCCTGCTAGGCAAAAACCTCACCTCCGTGCTGCATCCAACCTCATTCCCCATTTGTATAAAAGTATGCAACTCAACAGTCAGAAGGACCTTTAGAGATAACCTAGTCCTTCAACTCACAGACGAAAATGAGAAAGCAGTTACCTGCCCAAGATCACACAGCATCTCAGAGGTTAAGCCAGCATCAGATCCCAGACTTGTACATCTGCCACAATGCTGAACTGCCGATGGAATTCTGGATTTCCTAAAGCAGGCAGTGTTACAGCAAGACCCCTCACACATTGCTGTCATCTCTGGATACGTTTCTACATACCCAACATTCTTTCTTTTTCTGAACCCCTACTCATCTATTGCAGCTCAGCTTAAATGCTCTCTTGCCCAAGACCTCTTTCTAGACCCTGAGCACCCCCAAGATGGGAGTAGGTACTTCTTTGTAGTCCCTAATCACAGGATATTATAAGTTACTCTTTAATCAGGATAATATAACCTTTTTCACTAGGCAGTGAACATCATTCAGGTGGGTACCGAAGACCACACTGTGCCTCCTGCCCCCAGCACAGAAAGACTAACTGAGGGGAAGGAGGATGTCACTACTGTGCATTCATTGAAATGAGTCACTCCCACTCTTACCCTTAAAACCGCTTTCCAGCAGCAATGAAACTGCCACTACCCTCTGCTAGCCTTATCAGAGTCAGAGATGGAGGAAGGAGGCATGGTGTAAACTCCAGTTTAGGAGGGAGGGCAGAGAAAGTGTGGGGGAAGGAGGCCTGAAAGCTCGAGTTCTAGGTCCCTTGCATGCTAGGTCTTGTGCTAGCCTCTGGGGACACAGAAAGTAAGAGGCTGGCCTTTGCCCTCTGCAATGTCTGTAACCTTGCTCTGTAACCCTGGCAAAGTTCTGATCCAGAGCTCTGATTCTGTGCCCAAACTTCTCCATTTGAAAACAAGGATGACACCTCCTTCCTTTATTAAAGTGAGTGCCGTACGCTTTGAGAAAAGATGCTGCACGTGCCAAATACCAATTACTGTCCCATGCATGACGCGCTGTGCCCTCTCAGGTCGACCTCGCCCCTTGTCTGGGCTTCACTTTCTCGTCTGTTAACAGGACCCGACTGGCCTGCATAGCCTCATGAGCCTGAACCCTGCCTCAGTCACCCCACCCTGCACAGCCGAAGCCCGAAGCCCACCCAAACCTGGCTCGGTCCTTAGCCGAAAGAGAGCATGTCCTAGCCTCACCTGTCGGGGGCGCGTAAGTCCGGGTCTGGGACAGGATGGTAGACCCCAGCCCAACGGAGGCGGTTGGGCCACCCGCTGGCCGGTTCAGGAGGCGGCGACCCCCAACCCGCAGCCGGAGGCAGCTCCTCCACATCTCGCCCGAGGGTCTGAGAGGAGGCGCGGCGCGAAGCCTGGGAGCAGGAAACACAGAGCGAAGGGACTTCCCGGCTGCACGCTCCAGCTGTACGGCA